TCCCCGCCCGCAGGCCCCGCCCACGCCGCCCGCAGGCCCCGCCCTCCCCGCCGGCACCTGCGGCTGGAGCTGGAAGTCTTCTTTGCAGACGGGGCAGGGCTGCGCGGAGTCGCCGTGCAGCACCGACCTCTGTTTCACTCGGTCCCACTCGGCGGGCGACAGCGGCGGCGGGGGAGGTGCGACGAGGCCCAGCTTCTGCGCTGCGGGGCAGAGGGCGGTGTGAGCGACCGCACCGGTCGTGCCCTTGAGGACACTGCTACCAGGAGTTCCAGGGCCGCCTGGGTAGCTCCCATTTTCCCACCGAGGCGTGCAGTCAGTGGTAGGCCCTTACATTTCAGTAATTTATGGTTTTATTTATAAACAACCCCCCACATCTCGTTTAACATTCACAAAAATTCTGTAAGACAAGCAGGACTGACAGTGTTGTGGGAGGAACAACTCAACCTGGTTCTTCAGAAATCTCCACGCTGCTGCTTGCCTGACTTAACTGTCGGCCTTCAGCACTTTCTTCCTCTGCTTTATCTGCTTCTGCCACCAGGGACTTCACGAAGGGCACTGCGATCACCGGTCTTCCCTGCCACAAACCCCTGTGAGTGACACTTCCGTCAGGACAGATCTCTCAGCCCAGCAGTATCTGAGGCCTCGCCGTGTGTTTCTCTGGTCACACATGGAGCTCATGTCCCAGCGGGGAACACTACAAAAAGCTGCCGCATAATTGGGCAAAATGCCGGTAGGAATGTATCAACGGCCTTCCCCGTATTGCATAAGGGTGTCAGCCGACAAGGGTTCTTCAGAGACTTACGAGAAACATTACAGAAGCTCTTGGCCACGGGCAGTTTCGTACTCGAGTGTGAACGTCCGCCGAGAAGCTAGGACAGGCTGACGTAGTAGGCAAAAGGATACAGCGAGGACGGGAGGTGAAGGGATCACCTAGGCATCTGGACACCCGAAACAGACACTGGGGAAGCGGAGCTGGGCACTGCAACACGCGTCTGTAATCCCAGCCCTCGGGAAGGCTGAGGCAGGGAGATCAAAAATTCCAGCCGAATCTGGGCAATTTAGCAAAACCTTGTCTCAGAATAAAAAATAAAAAGCCCTGAGTTCAATCCCTAGGAACCTCCGCCCTGACAGTAAACAGAATACTACTACAATTTGGAATAACCCAGAGGTTGCTCTCTCCAGAGACGGGGAACAGAGACTGCGGGGTGCAGAGATCACCGCAAGGTGGGATGTTTCCAGACGGAGAAAAAGAAGTGAAGGTGGGAGCCGCGAGGCTGTGGGCTCGTGCTGGACGCCGGGCCTTTGGGCCGAGGCACGGGACCGGTGGGAGCGATGGTGGACAGCATTCCCCGGGGCAGGGCTTCCCGAACTCCACCTCTGGCAGCCGCTCTGGCCAGTCACCTAGCCGGAGCCGTGTCTGTAACTGTGCTAACCAAGAGGGGAGACCCGAGGAAGCTGAGGCGTGAGAGTGCCGCGTGGAGATTGCCGCCACGCGGCCCCGGGAGCACAGCCAGCGCCCAGTTCCTGGACCCGAGCCCCAGGGACAGAAACCGAGATTCTGGGGCTGGGGCGGGGACAGAGCACATGCTTATCTGGGACCCTGTAACGGCAGAAAGTAAGAAAGCGCACAGAAGGAAAAAGAACAAGGACTAAACCAGAAGAGCCAGCGGCCAAAGATGTAACAATCACAAGCAGAACAGAATGGTGACAGCACTAGATACAAGCCAGAGCATAAAGTAAGTGTGCACGGACCTTACCGGTGCAAGTGACCGGATAAATGCATCAAGGGGAAGAGGAAGCATCTGTCTTACAGAATTCCTTACAAGATACACTGCTACCTCAGCTGCTTTTTTAAATATGGAACTATTTACTGACCACTGCTCACCATTATTTACAATAAAGTAAACTATACATTAGGATAACATCCTGACTACGACAAAGTCGTTTTCCTGGCTTCTGCTGAAAACAGTAATCCAAATACTGCAAAGACTGAGCTTACCCGTAAGGAACAAGTTGGGGTCAAGAAAAACATGCAGGCCAGTAATTCAGATTACAAGTTTGTCCACTCATTTATTTTAGCAGGTCCTAAGTTGTGAACGCCTCTAGCCACTCAGTAGGTTTACATGAGCCAAGTCGTAAGACATCCACAAATCCTGACTTTTGAGTACAGATTTCTTGTAATGGTCGTGAATAAGCTTTAGTGTTCCTTTAGCAAGTCTTCCTTAGCTAATTCTAACAAACTAGGTTTCGACTTGCTACCTTATTTGGGTGGGGAAGTTGTTGGTAGAGATAGGAATTTTTCTTTTCAGTAAACTGCTGCATTTTTGTGACTAAAGACATGCATATGGATTCTGATAGGGTGGCTTTGAAAATATCCACTTGAAACTGTCCGATTAACCACAGAATCATCTATTTAACTTGAAAGGTTACGGCTTCAGGAAAACTTTCTGTTTAACTTGAAGTGATGTATTTCTTAGGTTGCTCAGAATGACGGCATCTCAAACATGAGCTTACCACCCATAGTTTTTGTTTTGAAGCACGTTGAAAAACAAAACAAAAACCATTTACATAGGTATTTGACTTATACACATGCAAACAAAAACCTCAGAATGCTCCTTAAGTGTGTGAGCTAAAACGTGAGTTCTGATTGAGTTTGCCTATGGACAATTCCCCCAACATTTAGAAAAGCAGAGGAAACATATCAGGCTATCAGATGCTCTTTTCTGATAAAGGAAGCACCTACAAAAGCTTTTATTTGTTCCAAGTAACCAGTGCTATAGATGCAAAACAAAGAAAGCCCAGTAACTCCCCCAAATACTACATTCAAAACCAACATATTCAACTTGACTTTCATTAGAATGCTGTTTTTTCCACACTATTAAATCAAAACCAAGACCCATACATATATAAAGTGACATAAGTTATTGAGCTTCATCTTCTGGACACGCATGCCAAGTTAGTCTCTCTTCGTAACAAGCACTTACAATTTGAGGACATTTCGTATCTGCCTCTTTTGCCAGCGCCAAGTCAAGCCTCATCTGAATCTTTCCATTTCTTGAGAAACATCAATTCTCCACGACTGTCTGTGGCACCCGTTACTTGTTTGGGATCAAGACCTCTAGCAAAGCCTCTAGGTCTGTCAGCAGCATCTCTTTCCTTCTTTGATTTGCTATCATCAGATTCACTGTCAGATAAAGATTTTCTTTTGTACCATCTTTTTCCTTACCAGCTTTTTGAGAGTTAAGAAATGCTTCAAGGGGCTGGGGATTTAGCTCAGCGTCACAGTGCCTGCCCGGCAAGCACAAGGTCGTGAGTTCGATTCCCGGTACTGGAAAAATACAACAACAACAACAAAAAAACCCCAAAAGAAATGCTTCAATTAACTCTGGACAATCTAAATTTTCTTCAGGTTCCCACGTGTTGTCAGGATCTGTATTCCCTTCCACTCCAAAGAACACTCCGCCTTCCCATTCACTGCATGTCAATCCAGTACTTTTTCTACCACAAATTCTTCAGGCTCTGTTACTTTTTCCATTTTGTTTCTCATTTTTTGCAAAGTAGTTTATTGGAGGCCATTTTTTATTGCCGACTTGAAGAGCTTTATTCACCACCTCGGATGCCTGGTCTCGGGTCCACAGTGTCTGGGCCTGCATGTCTGCAGCTCCTCCCGCACCCAAGTGCCTCAGTTGTCGAGCTCAATTTGTACTGACTTCATATTTGAACACCCAAAAGACGGAGAACTGAACATATTTTTCCCATATGAAATAATGGAAAACCACATAACTGGTTCTGAGGCCCCAAAATTATACCTTTGAATGATTTTTCGAGGACTTTAACGAATTTCTCAATGATTGTTTTCTTTAACTCTGTGATGGTTCTCACAGTTTTCCTTTTAGCTGTACAGTTGGTATCACTTTCTTTGGAGCCCTGGTTATGATATTTTACGCAAATGAAATGCGAAGGAAAGCACAATGGCGAAGGTTTTAATGCACTAACACAAGCACTGTGTGTTACTGTGGGGAGAGCCGTGCTGAGACTGAAGCTTCACCTCTTGTGTCTGTGGTGAGAGGCCACATGTGACTTCCTCTCGGCCCGTTACAGGTTTTTCCAAGTCGGATTTTTGCTTTGACTGTTGAGCGAACTTATGCACTCCAATCAGATTTTTTTTAACTTGCTGTTCGGGTAGTGGAAAGTTCAAGCTTGGAAGCATTCGACAACCAAGTGTCACTATATGTAGAAGTTCCCCCCGCCTCTGCCCCTGACTTTGTGGGCTGGATGTAGTGAATTGCTCCCCAGAAGAGCTGGAAAGGGAAGAACATGGCTTTGCAGGTGTCCATCAGGCAAGGGTCATGGTCAGTGTCAGCAGGGATAGGCTACGACATACACGACAGAATGTGAGATGAGCCCCAGCCTCACCATGAGAGAAACATCGGACGGCCCACACTGAGGGGCTGCCTATGGGCTACCTGGCCAGGTCACAAGAACCTGTCATGGCAGTCACCTGAGCGGGATCCTGGCGCAGGACAGCCACCAGCAGGAAAGTGGCTAAAGCCAATCTGGACTTTGGTCAACAGGGATGGGCCGATGTGGGTTTCTCATTTTGCAAAACAGAACGTGATAATGTAAAATGTTAGCGCCAGGGAACCCGAGTGGGTACACAGCAAGCCTGGACCATGTCTGCATCTCTTCTGGAAATCTAAAATTATTCTGAAATAAACACTGTAAAGTAGCAGTAACAAAAACAGAACTTTAAACGCAGGTCCCAAACAGTAAGTGCGCCTGAAAACTCAAAATAGGTACAAGGTGAGTTCCCTTATCTGAAATGTCTGGGATCAAGAGCACTTTAGATTTTGGAGGGCTTTTTTTTTTATTTTAAAATTTTTTAAATTTTGTGGTATTTGCACAGACTTTACCAGCTGAGTGTCCTTATTCCGGAAATCCAAAATCTAAAACTCACATCATGCTGGTGCCCAAAATGTTTTGGATTTTGGGCTTTTGGATTACAGATGTACAAGTCATATGACCCAATAACTGATGCTCAAAAAAAAAAAAAAAAAAAAACCAAAAAGAAAAGGAAGAGGTACAGTCCAGAAGCCGGGCAGCTCAGGGAGCGCGACCTGCCAGCATGAGATCGTGCTGAGCAACCGTCTGGGAGAAATGCACTGCTGGGACTGCGAGTGCCAGGAGTCCGAGTCTGGAAGCAGAAGGGCAAGTGTTTAACTCAAGAACCCAGGAAAGAGAAATACTAAAGAAAAGGAAACGAGGAGGAGGAGGAGGAGGGCAGAAACGCAAAGAGAACAGAGGCAAAAAAAGAAACCAAAACCCATACTAGTGTTACCCAGATTAGTTTTTCTCAAAAGAGGCATTTCTCACAAAACTGGACCAGTGAAAAAGAAAGGAAAATGCAGACAAAATGCAGACTAAATAGAAAGCGGGTTGGAGAAGTAGTGGCAGAGCGCTTGCCTGGCACGCACAGGCCCTTGGCTCCATCCCCAGCAAAGCCAAAAAAAAAAAAGAAAAAGAAGAAGGGACATAATCATAAATAATTTTAAAAATAATTATAAGGTAATATTAATAACTATATTCTAAAATACACCTGGAAATCTAGGTAAGAGTAATATGCTTCTGGGAAAATGTACAAATATTCACACTGTTACAAGAGAAAACGGAGCACTCAGTTGCCCCCAGACCTGGCAAGACAAGCGCCTTGGTCCTGTGGCAGGCAGGACAGCTGCGCCTGGCGAGTCCATGAGGCTCGGCCACACCCGGCCGCCTGCCAGCCGTCAAGAGTCAGTGGGCGTGTGACCCATTTCAGGCGCAGGGGGTCCCGTTTTTCCAGGCTGCACCTTGCTGGGGCCACCTGGGGACCCCAAGACAGTGGTGCAGCGGCACGAGGCTGCCCCTGCAACACGGCTGGCAATGCCTATCTTCGAGGTGCGTGTCGCTGTTGGGTGGTCATGCTATAGTTGCACCCAAATGTATCTTAATTCCCTGCCACCAAGAAAGGTTCAAGCCAGGTAATTTCACAAGTAAGTTGAGTGAGTTATCCCAAACTTTCAAGGGGCATATCCCTATTTGAGAAATTATTACAGAATACAGTCAGTAAGTGCAGTGACAGCCACCTTGTGTATGGATGGTTCCACCAACACTTCATCTCAGAAGTGAAAACATACTTGGAAGAGGAAGGGTTGGAATTTAAAGACTTCACAGACCATGCGCCTGGCCATCCTGAAGCTGTTCGCTATGAAAATGTCAAAGCCGTGTTTTTCTCTCCACGTACACCTCACTACCTCAGACCCTGGATGAGGCCAACATCCAGGGTGTCAAGGTCACACACACCTGCCCCATGTGTGATCACATCTGATCAGTAAAGACCCGGACTCCAGGCGGGAACACTGCAGTGCTGGAAGTCACTCACTAGTGCCAACACGGTGGTATCTGTCGAAGCTCCAACGAGTGTTAAAAACCAGAAACTGCTAGAAGAACTTACGAGTGAAGTAGTGAGTGGTTTTAGGGCTTCCTAGGGGATCTGCTAAGACATTAGGAAAACCCTTTGCTCAGCAAGAGAGGTTAAGGAGAAGGATTTGCCAACATGGGTGAAGTGGAAGACCATGTGAAAGGCCACGGAGAACCGTTAACAAGTGAGAAACTGGGAGAACTTGAGTTATCTACTGAAGAGCGGGGAGGAATGTGGACATTTCCAAAGTCCACCGAAACGGTTCGAAGTGCACAGACATCAAAAGACAGAATGATGCTTCATGAAAATCACCCGTAGGATCACTAGAAGATATCAACTTTGGCAGCAATATTTGATAAGTTAAAAGGCTCAACAACTTTCTATTACAACACCTTCCAAAATGTTTTGGCAAAAAAATTTCAACTACCAGAGCTCCGCAGCTACCAACACTGCTCCTGACATCCAACCACTGACCCCGTCATAGCTGCGTGATGTGGGGTCAGCCAAAGCCAAGGACCCTCTGACACACTGCCTGCGCCCCTCAGGCCCTCACGCAGGCTCTGCACCTCCCCCATCATCGCAGGAAGAGGGATGAGTGTGGTACGGGAAGATATCCGGAGACACCACGTTTGCACAGCTTCTATCATAGCACACTGCTGTCACTGTCCTATTTCACCATTAGTTATTCTCGTTAATTTCCTCCTGTGAGTTACAAATCAAACTTTATGATAGGGCTGTATGTCTAGGACAAAACAGTCTATGCAGATCTGGTACTATCCATGAGTCCAGGTGTCCATGGGAATCTCAGGGCGTACCCTCCCGTGGATGAGGGTGGACTCTGTTAGCTCTCCGTACCTTATTCCAATTTCACTCTTTGTTTCACTGATGATCTTCTCTAAACTAGGATTGGGTCTAGGATTACATATTACTTTTAATTTTCATATCCCCTCGATTTCCTATAATCTGGGGCAGTTTCTAGGTCTTTGCTTTTCTTGAGATTTTTGAAGACTGTTACAGAGGATTGTGTAGAGTGCTGCTCAATTTGTTTGTGTGAGGTTCCTCATGACTAAGTTCAGCTATATATTTCTGGCAAGAATGCCACAGAAGTGACATTAAACCTTTTACCCAGGGGACATTCTTTGATAGCGTGTCACCACTGGGGAGACCACCGGTTGGTTAGGGTGCCATCTGCCCAGGGCGCCATTGTGTTACTACTTCTCCTTTTGCGGTGGACATAGGTGTGGGAAACACTGGGAGCCTGTGTGTGCACAGCCCGCTCTAGCGTGGCTTCCTCACTGGATTCTCATCCACTGACGATGATTACTGTGCTGCCTGCCTGTCTGCTGCAGTTAACTGTCATTCTACTGTAAGAGCTTTTCTTCTCCATCTCTTATTCTTACTCTCTCACTTTCTCTCTCTGCACATGTACTAGGGGTTGAACTCAGGGCCTTTGCACTGAGTTAAAGTCTTTTCTAAAAATTTTTTTGAGACTGAGCTCGCTAAGTCACTAAGTTCCCTCAGCTGGGCTCCATCTTGCAATCCTTCTGCCTCAGCCTCCTAGAGTGCTGGGATGATAGAAGGGCACCATCACACCCAGCTTATATCTTTATTTTCTTGCTCAATTTGTCCCTATCATTTTTAAGCTTTAGCACATGCATATCTCTGTGTGTAAGCAAATTAGTTCTGTACCTTAAACACTGTACCATTAGACTCAGTAGACTCATTAGTGCTAATAAGCCAACATCTTCATGACCAGATTAGCTCACCTAAAGTTAATGGTGGTGGTGCAGGATCCAGGACATATTCCTTTTCTGGATCTTCTACTTTGGGGTCCTCTGGAGGTTTTCTAAGTCCAGTATCTATTACTGCTTTTGCATCTCTTTTTAGAGACTTTGACCTGTTCTCTTTCTTTTGTACGTTTGTCTGGAGACGACCAGCCACTGAGAGATTTCCAAGCTGAAGATCGTGTAAGATGTGATCTTGTAAAGCAACTGCGGTGACTGCTAAGTTACTCTTTTGAGATGAATGGTCCTAAAAGTAGGAAAAGAGGTCTTCGTTACAGGAACACTATGCAGTGTATTCTTTAGAAGAGAACAGGCTTCAGTCGTGGAACTTGATGGTCCATTTGACCAAACTGAATGGTAAAGGAAGCTCCACCCACTGCTGCCTAAACCCGCGCAAACTCCAGGCTCATCATTTATGATAACAACATAGGAATATCTTTTCATTTAATTATTAAAGCCTTAATTATAATATAAATAAAAGCATTATGACTTATAAACCTGTGCATGCCTAAACAAACCCATACTGTTTCACTATAATTAAATTAGACTCCAGGCAAATCTTAAAAGGCATCTTGCACCCAACTTTGTACTTTCTGTGAAAATGTAACACCTCTCCCATGCAGAATAAAAGTCACCATCTAGGCAGGAGGTGCTTGCAGGCAGTTCTGGGGGGACTGGCTCCTCCTCATGTACCTCCCACTGCCCCAGACCACATGCTGGTGGGAGCCAGGTCTACATAGGATTTATACTCTCAAGAGTGCGAATCAAAATATATTCCGTGAGTAAAACCAAAGGGGAGGGTGTACCTTGTTTCTTAACATGCTGAGTTAGGAGGAGTTGTGGCGTGGGTTGTAAGGAATCCTATCATCACATCACGCACATTTCTTCCTATCTTCCACTGTGAAAACACAGACAACCGGAAGAGTGTGTATAAAAATCTTTTATGAAGTTGATGAGCAAGGTTTGTACGAAGGTTCTGACCGATAATGAAGTCAAGGCTGGTGTCCGAGGCAGGGCGGCAGGGAGCTCATATCTGGATCCTGCAGGAGGAAGAGGACCTGAAACCAGTTGTTACCTGACTCGATCCTGTCCCCTAACGCTTCACCAGAGTTGGAGGGAAGGCTTTAAATAAGAACAAAAGCGACAAGTATAACATACACCCTTGTCCAATAAAGAAGATAAACTCACTAAGGAGCGCAGGAAGAGAAAAGTGAGGGTACTAAAGCGCATGTGTGAGATACCCTTGGTTTGGAATAAAAAGGCCCAGTACCGCTCGAATCCTTTAGAAGCCAGAGGACAGTTCACTGTATCCTTTCCTTGTTCCCTTCTAAGTTGGGCATCAAGAGATCTATGCTGCTATGCAACATTCTGCCAAAGGAGTCTACACTGGGGAAACGGTAAATATCATTAAAATACTGAAATACTTCCAGAATTTTCTACATTCAAACTGTCTACAACCTGGTAGTGATAGTTTGCATCATACTAAAGACTTTAATTTTAGTAACAATCGTAATTATTAACCAGCCCGTTACAGCCTACGATTTTAGGTCGTTTCTATGGAGCCACTGTCAAGTTTTTAAAAACTGACCCTTCAAAAGTCCTGTAGCTTCATGAAATTTTAGAATGTAAATATCGCAAGCTTCAAACATCGACTCTAACTGCAGTTTCCAAACGAAACATACACGGTGACGGGTGGCTTGCGAGACTCGGTCTGCGGCAGCGTGAGGGGCAGCCTCGCTGGCCCGCCACCCACTGCTCCGGGGCCTCGGCACCACCCGGAACACGGGCTCGGTCGCAAACAAAGTCGCTGTGGTGCTCGGGTGCTTAGTTACCCGCGAGTGTAAGCGGATAAACAGACGTACTAAAGAGAAAACCAAACCAGGGATAACCCGCCACTGTAAACAGTCGCACACCCAGCTTTTGAACCTCGCACGTCCCGGGCCTAAGACACCCACCCGCCGACCAGGAGGACGCCCGGCCCCGAGGGCACTGAGGGGTGCCGGGCCCGGCCTCTGTCCCGCTCACAAACCGCGGAGAACCCGACAAGCGACGGCCTGCGCTTCGCCAGGCTCGCAGATATGTTTCCTACACCGCTAGCGGTTGTCGTGGCAACCTCCCGGCGCAACGTCATTGCGCATGCTCGATACTCCCCCCGCAAAGCACGGCACCGGCTTTCCAGTCGCCGGTCCGCACTCTCCAGCGCGCATGCTCGTCGGCCCAGTCCTGCCCAGCGAGCCCTGCGGCCGATCCCGACGCCAGCGAAGTGCGCATGCTCTCCGTCCCTCTCCGCCCCGCCCAGAGCGCGGCGCCGACGACCCAGACATCCGTGCGTCACGCGCCCCGCGCACGCTGTGGCCCCGCCCCGCGCCCCAGCCGCCGAGCGTCCTCGCGGCTGTACGCGGTTGGCGAGCGTGGGGATCCCGGGGCTGGCGTCGGGCGGTTTTGGGGCCGCTTGGTGTGCCCCCGCCTCCGCGCCGCCACCCGCGCGCTTCCTGGTTGTTTCGCCACTCTAATCCTCCCGTTTCCGGCGCTGTGTGCCGGGCCGCACGGGCCGTCCCTCGGAGCCCTCGCCGTCGCGCCGTCGCGTGCGGCCCAGGGACTGGGGTGGTGCCCGCGTCCGCGGCGCGTGGGACCTGCGCGGGAGCCGGCGCGCCCCGGAGTGCGCCTCGTCCGCGACCGCGCGTCTGTGTCCTCGGCACCCTGCACCGCCCAGGCCTTCCCTCGCCTGCGCTGCCCCGCCTGGCCCGCACCTCTTCTGCCGGAACCTGCAGTTGCTTACGAAACCTCTGAGTGCTCGCTTTGCAGGGTGCTGACCTTTGAATGTTCGCTTTGCAGGGTGCTGACCGTCTGTGTTCTTGTCAAGGGTTCTGAGCTGCGTGCAGGACACTCGAGTTGCTTGAGGGGGCTCTCCCTCCCAGGCTGGCCGTCCCGCCGCCCCGTCCGCACAGCCGGGCAGAGCCGCTGGAGCGTGCCGCGCGCCGCTCTCCGCCACACTCGGTGCCTCCTTCCCGCCTGTGCACCAGGGCGCCCTGCTCAGCTGCGCCGGAGGCTTTCCCTTTCCGCTCTCCGCCTGGCCTGGATTTTCCGGTGCTCCTCCACGCTGTTGTCTTCGGCCCTGTGGCGAGCCAGTGGTGGTGATGTGGAAACCCCTGGCTCGCCCTTTCTTCGCCGTGGACTTCGGCCCTGCCCTGCTGCTTCTCCCACAGCTGAAAACTATGAGTTTACTTATTCTGACCGACTTTTGAGTTGTGAGAAGGTGATCTCACACTTCATGGTCACAGGCAGTTTTTTGTTTTGTTTTGTTTTGTTTTTGTCTTTTAAACAATGGTGATTTTATTGTGCCAAACGTATGCTTTAATTGAAATAAAATTTGAAAGTACAAGGAAAACATACAAATGCAAGTTGTCTTTTTTTTTCCTTTCCTGAAAGAAACGTCTGTTTAAAGTTACGAACCTAGACTGAACTTCGTCACTGATCATTAACTGTGAAGCGATATAAATTTTCAACACACATCTGTGACACAAAGTCTTTTTATTAGTACATGGTTCAGTGCACGATGAATACATCATCTTGAGAAGTTGGTACATGTGCATATCTCATTTTAATCCTCTTTACTTCCGTCTCTTAGAGCCCCTTACCATTTGCAAAAGGTCTTTTTCTTTTATCTACTTTGGTATTCTCATATAAGAGTGACCATATGATATTCAAGTTGTGTCTTATTTCGCTAAGCATTATGATCTCAAAGTCCATTTTCCTACAGATGATTTCAAGTTTACGATTCTTGGCTGAGTAGTACCCTATTGTGTACGTATACCACAATTTATCCATTCATCTGTTGAACATATAGACCACTTCCAATATTTCGTTATTATGAGTTGTGCTGGAACAACCATGGGTGTGCATGTATCACCATAATAGTGAGATCTTTAACCTTTTGGGAGGATATCTAAAGGGGAAGAGCTGGGTCATGTGGACTTTGAATTTTTAATTTTTCTGAGGAATCTATGTTGATTTCCATAGTGGTTGTACCAGTTTTCACTTCCACTAACAATGTTGAAGGGTTATTTTTTCCTGCAGTCTTTCATCACTTTTGTTTTTCATGATAGCCGTTCTGTGCAGTAAAATGGAATCTCAGTTTTATTTTAATTTGCATTTCTCTAATGACCAAATGTTGAATATTTTTCATATATTTATTGGCTATTTGTATTTCTTCTGAGAAGTGTTCATTTCAGTTGCCCATTTTTGACTGTCTTTTCTTTGTGGGAGGGCCTTTTTAAAAAATTTTATATATTTTAGGTATTAGTCCTCTGTCCTAAGCCTGGCTGGGCAAAAATATACATGTAGGTTGTTGCTTAATTCTGTTGATTTCCTTTGCTATGGGGATTTTAAATTTGATAATCCGATTTGTTGATTCTTTGTATTATTTCTTGTGCAGTTGGGGTTCTGCACAGAAAGTCTTCACCTATACCAGTGATGGTGAACCTTTTGGAGCTTTCAGTGATAAACAGTCAGCTGTGGCATGTTTGCCGTAGATTCACCACCACTGACCTATACCTATGTCTTGAAGGGTTTTACCTGTTGTATCTTAAGTGTCTCTGTTTTAGTCTTTACATTTTTGATCCATTTTGATTTTAGTGTGTAGTGAGAGATATGGGTCTAAATTCAATCTTCTGCATGTGAGTAACCGGTTTTTCCAGCATAATTTGTTGCTTACCTTTTCTTCAGCATGTGTTTTTGGCCTCTTTGTCAATGATTAGATGTCTGAGTGTGCGTTGGGTTCTCTGCCACCTGTATTCTGTCCCACTGATCCACATGTCTGTTTTTGGTCAGTGACATGCTGTTTTTTTTATCACTGTAGCTTTGTGATATAACTTGAAATCTAGGATTATGATACTTCCTTCCTTGCTTTTGTTGTCCAGGATTGCTTTTGCTATTCTGGGACTGTTCCGCTTACTTAAATTTCAGGATTATGTTTTTCTTGTTCTGCAAAGAATGCTGTTGGTATTTTGATGGGAATTGCATTGAATCTATGTCAGTATGGGCTGGGGATTTAGCTCAGTGGTACAGTGCCTGCCTGGCAAGTGTGAGGTTGTGAGTTTGATTCCCAGTACCAGAAAAATAAAAAAACAAAACAAAACAAAAAAATCTATGTCAGTTTTGGTAATGTGGCTGTTTTGACAATATTGCATCTGCCTATCTAAGAATAGGGCATGTCTTTTCTATTTTCTGGTGTCCTCTTCAATCTCCTTTTTCAAAGTACTAAAATTTTAATTGTTGCGGTCTTTCACTTCTTTCACTGAGTAAATGCTTAGATATTTACATTTTGGAAGCCATTGTATGGTATTGTTTCATTTCTTTATCAATGTGTTCATTGTTGGTGAATAAGAATGCTGTTTATTTTTGTGTGTTGTTTTTATATCTTGATACCTTGCCAAATTTACTAGTCCTAGAAGTCTTTTCATGGAATTTTTTGCATCTTCTATGTTGAAGTTCATTTCATCTGTAAATAACGATAGTTGAACTTCTTCCTTTCCTATATGTGCCCCTTTTTATTTCTTTCTCTTACCTGATAGTGCTGGCTAAAGTTCTGACTACAGTAGGTCACAGACTTATGAGCAGGTTCTTTTCTGAGAGAATTGTTTGTAAGTCAGTCATTTGTAAGCTGACAAAGTGAGTCTTATACAGTACAGGTGTGAAAGTTTGCAACTTGAATGTTAATAAGTTGGGGACCTACTGACTGTATTGAACAAGAGTGGTGAGAATGGACAACCTGTTCTTGTTCTTGATTGTAGGGGGAAAATTTTTAGTTTTTCCTCATTTAGTATGATGTTGGCAGTTTGCCATAAATGGCTTTTACCAGATGGAGATAAGGTCCTTCTATGTGTATTTTCTTCAGAGTTTTTATCATAAATAGATACTGGGTTTTGTTAAAGGCTTTTTCTGCATTGATTAAGATGATCCTGTGGATTTTGTCCTTGCTTCTGTTCATGTAATGTATTTACATTTATTGATTTGTAAATGTTAAACCATCCTTGCATCCTGTGGATGAAGTCAACTTGGTTATGAGGTATAATCTTTTTAACAATTTGGTGCATTGTCTTTGCCTGTATCTTGTTGAAGATTTTTACATCCATGTGCATTAAAGAGATTGGCCTTTAGTAGTCCCTTTTAAAGTTCTTGCCTGGCTGGATGTGGTGGTGCACACCTGTAATTCCAGCACTTGGGAGGCTGAGGCAGGAGGATTGTTGTGAGTTCAAGACCAGCCTGAGCTACAGAGTGAGCTCAAGGTCATCCCGAACTGCACAGTGAGACCCTGTCTCAAAAAGACAAGAAAAAAAAGTCCTTGTCTGGTTTTGGTATCATGGTAATGCTAGCTTCCAGGAATGAGTTTGGCAGTACTCCTTCCCTTTCAACTTTATTGAAGAATTTGAGGAGTATTGTCATTAGATCTTCCTTGAAGTTCTTGTAGAATTGAATAGTGGATCTGCTGTATCCTGGGCTTTGCTTTTTTTTTTATTACTGCATCAATTTTATTGCCTATTATTGGACTGTTAAGTATTTTTATATCTTCTTGGTTTAGTTTTGGTAAGTCATATCCATCTAGAAATATGACCATTTCCTTCCCCAATTTATTAGATTATAGATTTTTAAAGTGTTTGTAATATTCTGGGTTTTGGGAGTATCCATTGTGATTTTGCCTTTTTTATTTCTAATTGCACTGATGTCGGTTTTTTTCGTTCCTTTTCATAAGTTTGGCTATGGGTTTGTGTATTTGGTTTATCCTTTTGAAGAACAACATCTTTGATTCATTGATTCTTGTATTCTTTGTCTCAATTTTGTTAATTTCCACTCTGATCTTTGTAATTTTCTTCCTTATACTAGTTTTGAATTTGGATTTTTCTTGTTTTTCTAGGGCCTTAAAGTGTATCAATAGGTTATTTTTTTCCGGCTGTCTCTTTTTCTGATGTGGGAATTCACAACTATAATCTTCCAATTTAGAACTACTTTTATTGTGTCCCATAGCTTCTATTTTATTACACTTGCATTATTGTTTGATTATAGAAAGTGATTTCTTCTGTGACCCATTGATTACTCATGAGTGGATTGTTTGATCTTTATGTGTTTACATAGTTTCTGTGGTTTCTCTTGCCATCAGTTTCTAGTTTCATTACACTATGATCTGATAATATGCATGAGATTATCTTGATTCTTTCATACTTATTTAAGCAAGCTTTATGGTCTAGTGCATGGTCTGTTTTTGAAAAATTTCTGTGTGCTAAGAAGAATGTATATTCTGTTTTTGTTGGGTTGTAGGTAACTATTAAGTAGATAGATATCTCTAGATATTTATTAAATTCATTTGTTTGAAGGTGTAGTTCAATTCTATGTTTCTTTATTTTTTTTTGTCTGGTTGATCTATTTGAAAAGATGGGGTGTTGTGGTTCCCCTACTTTGATTGTATGTTTTTTTTTTTTTTTTACCTTTTATGTTTCATAGTATTTGTTTTATGAGGTTGATTGCACCAGTATTTGGTTCATATATATTTACAGTTGTTATCACTTCTTGTTGAGTTGTTCCCTTTACTAGTTGTTATGGTTGATACATTGTGTCAACTTGGGGAGTCTAGAGGTTTGGCTAAGTGACTCAGCAGTTCTGCATCCTGGGGTAAGAAGGACATGCCCTCAACCTTCTGGGATGTTGTTCATTGTGTCAGTTTGAGAAGTTTAGAAGATTAACTGTGTGACTCAGCAGGGAGCCAGGGTACTTACTTTGTGTTCATCCTGAGCCTGTGCAAGAGGAGGGCATGGAGATTATGTGAGTGCTACACGCCCCTGGGTGGGGTAGCCTGCTCACAATATATGGCAGGGAAAGAGGCTTGCTCCTCTCTGCCTCTCCTCCCTTTTTGCTCTTGTTGCTTTTGCTGTGTTCAGTGGATTTGCCCTCTGCCTTGTGCCACTCTGCCTTGGAGCCAGCCAAGTATAGACTAAAACCTACACAAACTGTAAGCCAAATAAACCTTTTCTTCCTTCATTTTGGGCATCAGATATTTTGTGTCAACAACAACAAAAAAATAACCAAGACACTAGTACATAATGACTTTGTTTCTTCATCAGTTTTGGATTGAAGTCCACTTTTTGTGAAAATAGGATAGCTATTTTGGCTTATTTTCAGCCTCCTGTTGCATGGAAAAATCGTTCTCCATCCTTTGATTCATAATCTATAGATTTGTTTAAAGAGTAGGTGTATTTCTTGTATGTAACATACTGCTAGACTTTGTTTTTTGATCCAGTTTGTCTATCTGTATCTCTTGATTGGGGAGTTGAGACCATTTACATTGAGAGTTACTACTGAAAGCTATGGACTGATTCTTGTCATTGGTTTCTTTTTCTGTTGCT